ATATTGCTCTTAACCGGTGAGTTATATACGTTCGTGTTATTACTCTTTTATATATGCCTGACGAACTTGCGATAGCTAATTATCATGGATCCGATTGGCTTCTGTGTTCTCTTGGCACTAATTGGTTCTGCTTTTGCACTGTTTAGTGTTTATGCTAATAAAACTTTCTTTTTCACTTTGTTTTAATTTCTTTTGCGGGATCCTATTATGTCCAGATAAATGGAGCTTGAGATGTCAAAAACTCCTGGATTTGAATTTCCAAATTACAACTCATAAGACCGTGGCATATCATTAAAAAATTAAAATTACAACGTAGTATAAAATTTAAAGTGGAGGCCATTACGAATGGATTTTTTAAATTAAAAAAACTAAGTTATTTGGTCTTATCTTGTGTCTTTGCAATCACGACATATAAGTAGGGCTTGGGAATAGAAAAATATATGCTATTAAAATATATTTCCTAGTTATTCAAAACATTAAATATTTCTACTTTTATTCAAAAGTTTTTTGGGACCTCAATATTTTATTCAAAAGTTAAAGCTCGCTCTTTCGAGTTTTCAATGAACGTGTCATTCTAATATACACCTAACCTTAATTAAACCTTCTCGCAACTTTATGCTTGTTCAGTTTATATACGCTTCTTCTTGGCTGGTTCTTATATAACTAGACGCCGTACCCGTGCAATCACGGGTTATTAAGTCAATACTTTTTACATCATCAAAGGAAATAACTATTAGTATTTACATCAAGTTGAAATCACGTTTTGAAAAACCTAGTTGTACCCAATATTTATTGTTCGATTTGTTGGCCTTTCTTTGTTATGACTTGTGTTCTGTTTTTTTGTAGGAAAACCTTGTTCTTTTGTTTCTAAAATATTAGACTTAGTGTAATAATGGGGAATTAATACAGTTTGCAACATAGAAATTAGCAAAATTATTGTAGCTTTTATAAATATGATACATAATTTTACTACTCTAACAACATGTTTTGAAATGCTTTTGTGTACCTGTTGGCAAAAAAAAAAAAAAAGGTGTCTGTATACATCACATTTGTTGTTATGTTTGTTGCTAGTTTCTAAGAATCCAATATTAATATCTTAAGGCCTGTCATACTTCTAACCATGAAAATAGCAACACTGAGTTGTCCACGTAAGAATACTGGAGGAAGGAACAACCCTACATTGGCCATTGACAGACGATGACTTTACAATTTAAAATCTAAGCCATTGATCAAAAATCAAGAAAAGATGATGTGGATGTAACTTCAGAGATATCTTCCTTGCAACAAATATGCTTATGCCTAATAAAGATATAAAAATTTGTGCACAAAACCAACTGACTACATACTCATGCTAGCTAGAAGCTCTCCATCCTTTACTCCATTTTAATTTAATATTTCTATTTTATTTGAAAGATTAACGTCATTCTGTACAATTTTCAATCAATATGTTTTTCTGATAAAATACATGAAGAAATAAACCTAACGCTATTCAAACCTTCTGGCACTTCCCCTTACTCAGTTAATACACATTATTTCCTTTGAGATGTAATTCTTGTGATAAGGACACCATGTATATTTAATAATATTGTCAATAAAGCTTCTTAATTAATTAATAATACTCCTCCAATTAATAACGTTTATAATTTTGAAAATTTTTAAAAATAACTATTTGAAGTTGTGAAAAGCATATATCTAGGTGCCTTCACTCGCACAAGTCATCCTTGGCGTGGAAATTTTGGCCCCTTCCCTATTATTTGACCCATCCGACGGCTTTTCCTTTCTCAAGAGTCAAGAGGAGAGTATTACTAATCTGTCATTTCTCTTTTAATTAGTCCCATTTGATGTTTTGTAACATATATGGACCTACCAATGTCCTCAACCACTCTGCATTTTTATAATTCTAAGAAAATGATCTTTTCATACAATTTTCAATTGAAAAAAAAAAAGTATAAAATCGTCTTGCGCCTATAATTACGCGAAAATGAAAAATTAGTAACTGCTCTCTTTACAATTCAACTACTTAAAACTTTGCCATAATAATTTACTCTAGTCTTCTCTCTTCTGGGCGCCACAATAATCACTCAATGCTTCAATTATATCATTTTGGTAATCTCATTATCAGACTAGAGAATCAGTTTCTAAGAAATTTTCACTGTCCCTTGGGGGACATTGGAAAAAATTGCACCGATACTAAGAAATTTTCACTTTTCTTATTTAACTTTTGAATTTATATATATTATTGAGAAAATTATACCATTCTAGTCCTTATTATCAGACACCAGAAGAAATATGAGGTCCTTATATAATTAAGTCAGCAAGTGTATTAATAACATTTTTCAGCAATATTCTAAGAAGAAATTTTCACTTTTCTCATTTAAATTTTGAATATATATATTAGTGAGAAAATTATACCATTCTAGTCCTTATTATCAGACACCAGAAGAATTATGGGTTCCTTATATAATTAAGTCATCAAGGGTATTAAACATTTTTCAGTAATTCACCAAGAGCCTAAACAAAGACTGATGCATATCAATTTTAGTCAACCATATATATCAATTAAGAAGTGGCACATAATTCGATTACACGTGATACCACCAAAGACATGATAGGTAGCAAATGCTTATTTAATCAGACAATGCCCTAACCCGCATGACGATGTATCGGTGGTCTATATTTATTTGTGAAGGAAAAAAAAAAACTTGTTGGTATCCTCTGCACGGCACCGAATTATCACTTTTTTTAAAAGCATGTAATACATTAATAAAAGAATGAATATGTGAGTCGACTAAATAGTAAACTGAAGACTTGAGGAAAAATATTGAGCAACGAACGATATAAAAAGAGAGATAGCTCAAGAAGCTAATTAAGGTTATGACCAGAAGGAGCACTATATATATAAGCTCGGTATCAAGAACCAGATGTAAGTGTCAGCTAGAACTAGGGTTTGGTCCAAGGTACCAATGTTCAAAGTATTGTCACTTCGTCCTTTATAAAGTGTGTTTCAAGGCTCGTCCTACGGACTCACCCATAACCCATCAATTCATGGGTAGCCCGATTCCAATTTCTCTGGGAACCTGCCGGTGGACGGAACCACCGTCTGTGCGATGCTTGCGCGAGGGACTTTCGAGGGTTTCTGTATGATGATCAATATCCCAGATACAAGCTTGACTTGCACCCTTGTTGCCTGAGCCTTAAGAGAGACATGTTTGATTCGTCTCGTAAACCACAAGCTCTTTGGGCTCTTGGCAAAAAGAGCTTCGCTGAGGCCATAGACATCATTTTTCAATTGTGGAGTGATCAAAATGGTAAAGTTAGGTCTCAGGGTTATAATATCAGTTCTATTTGGAGATCCAATAACTCCACTTAGCTGTTCATAATCCTGTAGTTTTGCTCGTATTACTCTTTTATGTCTGACGAACTTGTGATAGCCAGTAATTGATCCAAGTCTCTGCTAATTGGCTTCGTGTTGTCTTGGTGGTTGGTTCTATTTTTGCACTGTTTAAGCTAATAAAGCTTTCTTTCACTTTTGTTTTCTATTTCGCGGGATCCTCCTCCACTAAATTTCAGGTTTAAGTCCAGATTCATTTCTTTTTTAATTTTGTTGGTATATTTATAAAACGTTTTCAGTTTGGAATGCGAAGAAATATATCGATCCGTATGTAAATCGAGGACTTTGGAGCATCATTGGAACCCATGAATAGAAAATCAGGTAAGTGAAATAACTTACAATACTAAAACTGTAATAAATAAGTACCTTATTGATAAGTTTTTCATATCCCAAACATTTTCCCTTGCATTATATGATAAATATCATGTCGAGGCTGAAGTAAACAGTACTATTTCGGTTTCGAACATCATAGCTTATTATAGATCTTGAAACACACACATGCACATATATATTACCAACAAGCTGTTGGTTTAGGTGGTAAGTAGCCTTCCTTGCCTCTTAAGAAAAAGAACACAAGTTCAAATCTTAGGAAGCGCACTTGTTGGGGGAGGCAAAAACTTTTTGCACCAAGCCTCGAAAGGGAAAAACCTTAATCAAATAAAATATATATTAAATTGATATTGATATTTTTTGTTTGGATAACTTGAAGAAAGACAATACATACTCCTTCCTATTTTAAACGTAGAATGTATACGTTGAGATAAAAATGTATAGAACGAGAAGGGGCCTAATGTATGCTCTAACCTCTAAAATGTTTTTCTTCTTTTGATCATTGTATTGTACAAAAATGAATAATATTTTGATACCTTAGAAACATGATGAGTTTTGAATTTTTTTTAAAGATTTTTTCACGCGAATAAATTAAAACTGCACAATTTTATGGTTGTTTCTTTCTTTGAAAATTAGTTAAAAATTTAATATTGCACTATTTTTTGTTGGTAGGATATCAAGATATTACCCAATAGATAGAAGCTGGATCATTAGAAGGGGGTATTATTAGAGGCCCTTGCCTGTCGTGTGGGTAGGAGCTAAGAGATCTGAGGCTGGCTCAAATCTCAAGAGGGCAAGTCAACACACTGAGTTAAAGCCCCCCCGGATTACAAGCTGAAGCAACCTATATATATATATATATATATATATATAGTTTTGGGTAGTTGAGCAAACACTGATATGATATATTTTGCCCTTGTCATAAGGAGATGGTATTACTGGTAAGTAACAAATGCTGCTTTGATATGACAATGCTGTGAGCGATGACAGATCAGTAATTTATTTATATATGAAGAAACAACTGGTTGTCATCTTGGGCACCGAATTATATATAATGTATTTTTAAAGCACGTAGTACATTAATAAAAGAATGAACATGTGCGGTCGAGCGACGATCTGCAGTATACGATAAGAGGGAGAATCTCAAGACGCCATGGTTGACCAGAAATAAAGCTCGCTAAAAACCAGATCGATCATGAAAGTCTTAAGAAGTAGAAGGCTAGAAGCAAGCTAGCTTATGGGGCGACAAATAGAAAGTGATTTCTGAGAGAAGACAATGATGGCTCACCCATGGCATCCCCACCCATTGAGGCTCAATCTCGACGAAGAAGAAAAGCGATTTAAGTGCAGTGGATGCAAAGAACATGGGTTAGGTCCAAGGTACCAATGTGCCGTGAATTGTCCCTTCGTCCTTCACGAGCTGTGTTTCAATGTTAGCCCCGACGATCCACCCAGAACCCATGAATTCATGGGTAACTGCGAATTCCAATTCCTCCGGAAACCTCCGGGCGGACCGAACCGCCGGTTGTGCGATGCTTGTGGGTGCGACATCCGAGGGTTTCTGTATCATGATATGCGCAGAAACGTGCATGACTTGCACCCTCGTTGCCTGAACCTTAAGAGAACCATTTCTGATCCTGATAGTGGCATGAAGCTGAAACTTAAGGACAAAGTGCCTTCCAACTCCGTGTGTGATAAATGCAAGAGGAAGGATCTAAATGTGGCGACCAAAGGGCCCTTCAGAGGTTGGTGCTACGCGTCCTCATGTGGGAACTATTGCTACCATGTTTTTTGTTTGAAGAAGAAATTGATTCTAGATAACTGGGAAAGGGGCTATTTCAATGTCGCTTCTTCTTCTTCTTCTTCGAGCTTGGTCGTCAGAACTGGACGCTCATCAAGAAATACGAGAGCGCCAAGTGATGGAAGCTTGGTCACATCAGCCCCACGCCCGTCGACTTCGTATTCCACTCCTAAGGGGTTGTTCCCGGTGGCGATGGTATTTCTCGCCGCTCTAATATCACTATATTTGTCTGAAAATCCAGTTGAATTTTTTAAGGTTTTCGCTGATGTGCTCGTGAAAGTTTTGCCTCGCTCTTAAGCGAATGATTACTTTTTGATGTCTGACGAACTTTCGATTGGCTTACTTTTTTATGTCTGATGAACTTTCGATTGGCTTAGTGTTCTCTTGGCACTAAATGGTTCTGCTTTTGCACTGTTTATGCTAATAAAACTTTCTTTTCCACTTTGTTTTCTTCTTGCGGGATCGATCCTTAAGTGCAGATAATTAAATCGAGCCGCACTAGATGTCAAAAGTTCCTGGATTTAGTCTTATATCTTGTGGCCAATGCAATTGTGACACGTATGCGTAGGGCTTAGAAAAGTATGTGCTATTAAAATATATTTCCAAGGTATTCAAAACATCAAATATTTCTATTTTATTCCAAAGTTTTTTTTCTGACCTCGATATTTTATATTCAAAAGTTAAAGCTCATTCTTTGGACGTTTCAATGAATGTTTCTTTCTAATAAAATACTCCATACAATATTAATGCACCCAACCTTATTCAAACCTTACCGCCCTTATGCTTGTTCAATTTTTAGACCCAAAAAAATGCTTGTTCAGTTTGTATTATATTACTTCTCTTGGTTCTTATCTTATATAATCTAAATACACCGGCCATGTTTTAAAATATAACGACGTTATGTTTAAAGCATTTATTTTCCACCTGATAATTTTAGTACTAGGTGTGTTGTTTTTTTTTTTTTTGGCATCATTTTTAGTACTAAGTGTTAAATATAAAAATTTTTAACTAATTAATCAAAGTCTTTTAGCTAGTAACTTTTATTAATAACTTTAGAATTTTACCCAAAAAAAATTAACTACAAGTGGGCATAAGGCTAGATGCTCCCACTCGCGCAGTCAAGGCGTCGTCCCTTAGCGTGCAAAATTTGGCCCTTCCTTATTTTGTCTCATCGCATTTTGTTCCTCTTTCTCTTTTTTTTAATACATAAAACTTTCAAAGTCTAGGTCAGTTTGGTCTCTGGGGTTTACCAGAATCAAGACACGCTGCTAGACACTGAGAGCACTTAGATCGGTACTTAAAGATCGCCTACAAGTAAGATTCTCACATTGATAGTGACATCTGAATTTATGATCTCGTGGGTTATAAGTCAACTTTTTATTAACCAGACCAATTCTTGTTGGCTTGATAGCTTTTTTGTTTTCCTTTTTTTTTTATATAATTTACACAATTTTTCTCACGAATTAATTAATAATGTTATATATTGCTATCAATTCTAAAAACATGACCTTATCATTCGCCAAAAAAAAAAAAACATGATCCAATGAGAATAAATTATAAAATAATCTCGCGTATGGTTTCGATTGAAAAATTAGCAAAGCTCTATTTGCAAATCAACTGCTTAAAAACTTTGTTATAATAATTTACTCCCAGTATTCTGGCCCACGATAAGTCCATACTGAATTATATCATTTTAGTAATCGCTTGATCAGATCAAAGAATCAGTTTTAAGAAATTTTCACTTGAAGTTTTGAATCTGTATGCATGTGTATAATGCTTATGCGTGGGTGTGAGACTAAGAGAATTATATTCTCAAAAAAATTCCCTGTTTAAAAGTCGGTCTTTCGACTTTTCAATGGATGTTGGTCCTATTCAAACCTTCTCACACGTCGGCTTACCCACTAATATATACATCTTCTGGAGCTCCGCATGCGTCGTCCTTTTTCCTGAATTGCATTCTGAGATAACTCAGGTGAGTGAATATTTATTCAATCCGAGTTGGTTTTTGAATATTCCGATCGTGACTCAAGTTTAAATAGTGTTCTTTTAATTTCTCTGCTGCCGTTAATAACACTGGTTTTTCTGTTCTTTTAACCTCTTTTAAATGTGTTTCAGGGCGTTTTCGCAAGAATATCCAGATTATATTAATTCCTTTCGGTTGGCTTGGGTTTGAGATCGTGGTTGAAGATGATTCTGAGTGGCCGAACTTTGGGCGCTCATATTATTGCCATTAATTTTTTGTTGCTGTTGAGTTGTAACATGGTCTTCGGGACTGCGACTGATATCTTCTGCTTGAAAAGCATAAAAGATTCACTTGAAGACCCATATGGTTATTTGAAGTCTTCCTGGGATTTCAACAACATCACAGAAGGATTTATCTGCAGATTCACTGGGGTTGAATGCTGGCACCCTGATGAGAACAGGGTCTTAAATCTCAAGTTGTCAAACATGGCACTCAAGGGCCAGTTTCCTCGTGCCATTCGAAATTGCTCCAGCTTAACAGGATTAGATCTGTCAATGAACACACTTTCTGGGAAAATTCCTGCGGATATTGATGTTCTTCTTCCATTTGTGACAACTCTTGATCTATCTTCCAATAATTTTTCTGGGAAAATCCCCAACAGCGTTGCAAATTGCAGCTATCTGAATTCCCTTAAACTCGATCAGAACCAACTCAGTGGGCGAATTCCCGGAGAATTGACCTTCCTTACAAGGCTGAAGACATTTACAGTGACCAACAATCTTTTGACCGGTCCAGTTCCAAACCTTCCACAAGTCCCAGCTGAGAGTTATGCAAATAATTCAGGACTCTGTGGTGGTCCCTTACCACCTTGCTCCTAATCTGTGTTGTTAGCCTTTCAATTGCGCTGTGCCATGCAGCAGAGAGTTAGAACAATCTATTTCCCTACCGACACTTCGAATCATTCAATAAAGGGATCCATGGCCTTATTGCTTAGTGTGTACACTCTATGTTATTATTAATATTTAGTTCTGTGTCTTTAATCTCCATCATTTTTTTCTTCATAAACGTCTTCATCATTCAATAAAGTGTGCTTAGTTTACAGAGATCCATGGCACTCTACACGCCAATACGCCACAAGGGTGCTCGCATTTGATTCATATTAATACAACATCTTAACATATTTCATGATATTTTATTTTAATTATTAATTCTTTCACTTAATATTGCTAATTAAATATAAAAATTTCTTAGCAAGTAACTAAACTGCTCTAACTAATAACTTTTATTAAAAATAATTTTAAAATTTTGCAAAGAAAAATAACTAATTAAGAGTTGGCAAAAGTCTAGGTGCTCCCATTGGCATAGTCAAGTCGTCGCTTAGCGTGGAAATTTTCGCCTGTGTCTTATTTGACCCGTTCAATAGCCCTTCGTTTCTCTCTCTTCATATAATTTACACAATTTTTCTTAAGTGCTAATTAATTATTAATCCTACTTATTGCCATCAATATCCTCAATCACTCCGCATTTTTATAGTTCTAAAAGCATGATCTTTTCATGCAATTTTTAGTGAAAATAAATTGCTAAATCATCACGCAAGAAAAGTAATTAGCAAGGTTCACTTTGTTATAATAATTTACTCGAGTCTTCTGGACGGCCACAATCACTCAATACTTCAATTATACTACCTCTGGTCCTTAATATAATAAAGACTTCGACATTCAATTTGATTATAAATATAAGACCTCAATCTATTTTGTTTCTTACATTTATTTATTTTCTCAAGATAGTAGTTGTACATGTTAAAGATTTCATCAAATGGTAGTTCTAACTAATACACATGGTTAGTAAGGGTCTGTTAAGGAAAACAACACCTATTTATTACAAATAACTAATTTAACTAATTTTCTTAATCATAAAAAATATTCCAAGAACAAAGCTGGCATGTCTCTGTGGCATTCAGTTTCATCTGGCCTAAATGAGAAATTTCAAATGGCCTCAACTTGGTTCTGGCTTGAAATGGATGGTCTTTCTTTCAAAATTAGTCACTTCAATTAATTTGCTGGTTGAAATGGAAGGCCTCACTCTATGGGTTCTCTGTTATTTTTTTTCAGTGTTGGAAGTGGGGTGCAATGAGGATTTCAACCTATGGGACTGTGACTGCAGATACCTTGTGCTTTATTAATACATAGAATCGTAAAAGGAGAAACAAAGTATAACATGATATATATCAACAAGATAGAGATCTTAAGTATATGTTTGGGAGAGGAAAGGAGTTTCAAAAAGGAAAAGAGAAAATCCCTCTTAGACCAAGTACTTCCAGTTCTTAATATAAGACTTAATTGACTAATTTATAAAAATTAAAAAAGTTACTAAATTACTTAATCATGGCATATGTTATATAATCTCTATAAAATACTTATATATCATTGGATTATATGCTAATTTATAAGTGAGGTGAATTAATTTGGAGAAAAACAATATATAAATACTTTAAAGTAATTTAATAACTTCTTTTGTCTCCTCAAATTTGTTAACTTGGTTTTATATGAAGGACAAGAAATAATATCTCATTTAAGCCAAATATAAGTTTTTCATCATTGTGCGCCTCTCTCTCTAGTAAATCTTCTATCATTATGCATGCTTTCCTTTATTTTAAAAGTTGAGACAAACTTGAGAGACCAAATCAATAAGATAAATTTGAGGAAGTCAATGACAAATATTAAATTTTAAGGACCAAATTGATAATTGATGCAACTTTAAAGACTTTCCATTCTTCAAGGAAAAAATCACAAAAGAAGACCTTAAAAATTAAAAAATTATATACAGGGACCCGTTCATAAAACTGTTGTCCTTTTTATATAATTGGGAACAGATGGGAAATTATTTTTCTTCATCAAAGATGTATATATCATTAATTTAAACGGCAGGCAAGAGAATGATATAGCAGGACTAAACTAAAAAGAAAGGATCGTAACTAAATTATAATTGACTGACCTCTGGCCCAAAAAAATTATATATAATTGACCAACTACTCTGGCTTTTTGTACTCCACTACTCAAACTTGGGTGATTAATAATTATAAAGTCACTTTCTTCTAGATGCCACCGATAATTGATTCTCCAGTAAGAATTCAATTTTACTGAAAAAACCTAATCCTGAAAATATAAAATTTTCAAACGTTTGTCGCGTGTTTTCAGCTTTGGCCTGTCATCTTTCCCACTTATCAATAAAATAAAATAAAATTTTTAAGTAGAGTTTTTATGACTAATTTACAAATATTGAAAGGTGGCTAATTAATCAGATCATCATCATATGGAGGTGATGAACTCTTGGTTTGTGGCATTTTCTGCCTTCTTTTCATCTATGATTTTTGATAGAGCTCGATCTTATGAAAATGGTTAATAAAATATCAAGATCTTCAGTTCATTTTCATGCTTTTATATTATTCTTTTCTGATTTCTTAAACAAATTTTAGCAGAAAAGAAAATGAGATGTAATGAACCATTAGTATATAGATATATATATTCCTCCAGTCTTAAATATAAGACTTATTTTGTAATATAAATTATACTACAAAATGATTTTTATATTTAGGACCAAAGGGTAATATATATTTACCTTTTCAGTGGTTATCCTTTTCTGTATCTATTGTGGAAATCAACAAAAAAAAGCTAATGGGGGAAAAGTTGTTTGGAGTCCAGATACACCCACAAAAGCAATAAAAGGAATAGTAATAGTAGTAGTAGTAATAACAATAATAATAGCAGCAGCAGCAGAAGATCGAACATGTCTCGTGTTAATATGTTCATTTCTAAAAGTGTGCAACTTAAACTGTGAAGTGAGATCAGTGTAAGTTGATCTATTCAGAATCTATGAAAATATTGCCGTAAAACGCTAATAAGACGTCAATCTCATTAATTAAACAACTTTTAGTTTAACAATATCACGCACAATATAAAAGTTATTATTAACAACCGATTGACCTAGGTGCAAGTAAATGTGTTTTTTTCTGTAAGAAAATCTGTGTTGTGTGTATGTATTAGTATTTTTGTGTATTATTCTTTTAATCTTTAATATAAGATCTATTTTATAGTGTAAAATTGCACTACAGGTGTTATATTAAGCATCGAGAAGTACTTATTTTGGTTCAACTAATCTAACCCTGATAAATAGCATTAATTAAAAAAATGACTATGTGAACGAACAGTATGAAAAGAGAGAAATGTTGCAGACGCCGAGGTTGACCAGAAATAATTAACACTATCCATATATAAGATCATCACAAGAACCAGATGATAAAGGCAAATGTGTGAAGGTAGAAGCCTATGGAGCGACAAAATTACCCATGGCTTCGCCACCCAGTGATGAGTCTGAAACATGAGGAAGAAAATTTATTTAAGTGCAGTGGATGCAAAGAACCAGGGTTTGGCCCGAGGTACCAATGTGAAACAACCAATTGTCGCTTTGTCCTTCATGAGGATTGTTTCAAGGCTCGCCCCACACAGCCATCCAGAACCCATCCATTGATGGGTAACCGCAGATTCCAATTCCTCCTGGAACCTCCCGGCGGACCAGACCGCCGGTTGTGCGACGCTTGCGGTGGGGACATTCGAGGGTTCCTCTATCATGATAAATACAGACATGACCGTGACTTGCACCCTTGTTGCATGAACCTTCAGAAAACCATATCTGACCCTTTTAATAATGGGATGAAGCTGATTCTTAAGGGCAAAGTGTCCTCCGACTCCTTTTGTGTGAAATGCCAGAGGAAGGATCTAAACCTAAAGGCGGCCGAAGGGTTCATAGGGTGGTTTTATGTGTCCTCGGGCGGAAATCATTGGTACCATGTCCATTGTCTGAATAAATTGATCCTCCGTGCCCGGAAAAGGAGCTATTTCAATGTTCCTCCTTCTCTTTACCTTGTCCTTTTTATGTTTCTCGACCATATGGAGAAATTGACTCAGGAAATCAGAAGGGGCTATTTCAATGTTCCTCCTCCTCCTCCACTTCTGCTTCCACCTCCTCCACCACCACCTCCTCCTCCTCCTCCTCCACCGCCGCCACCGCTGCCACTTCCTCCTCCTCCTAGTATGGTCGACACAGCTGAGGCTGCAAGCTCATCAAGAAGTATGAGCGTGCCAACTTATAGAGGCTCGATCGAATCAGCCCCAAGCTCTTTGGAAAGAAGCTCGCCGCAGACTTCATACTTCACTGCTGAGAGGTTGTTCCGACTGGCGATATTATTTCTCTGCCTTGGAATAGCAATACGATATGCGCCTCAGAATCCAGGTGAACTTTTTACTGTTATCACTGGTGTGCTACTGAAGTTTTTATGATACGCACGCACGCACGCACGCACGTAACGGCGGCAACTTTATATTGCTCTTGTTAATCGTTGAGTTATGCTTGTGTTACTCTTTTATGTCTGACCAACTTGTGATAGCCCATTGGCTTCGTACGTGTTCTCTTGGCATCTGGTTCTACTTTTGCACTGTTGCTGCTAATAAAGCTTTCTTTCATTTTGTTTTCTTTTGCTAGATCCTCCACCTTCAAATTTTAGGATTATGTCCAGAAGGATTTCTTTTTTAATTTTATTTTGTATATGTCAAAAAAAAAAAAACAAAAAACAAAACAAAACATTCTGAGTTTCGAATGCGAGAGGCTTTCGCAAGAAGTATCCATTCGTATATGTAAATCGAGCTCTCGACGTCAAAACTCCGGGATATATTCGACCGATGCTAAAAATTACAGCTCATAAGATAGTGACATATCATTATCTATTTAAGAAAAAAAGGTTTATATCATTTTTAGTTATTAAAATTTGATTTTATTTTAATTTTGATCCCTAAAATTTGAAATCAGTAGATTTTGGTGGTTTCTAAAATTTAATCTCATTTTAGTTTTGGTTCTCAAAATTTCAAACGAGTGATTTTATTCCCTAAAATTTGATTTCAACTTAAGTTTTCTGTCCCTAAAATAAGGACCAAAACCAAAATGTGGTTAAATTTTAGGAACCATTTCAATTATCAAAACCAAAATGAAATCAAGCTTCAAAAACCAAAACCAAAATGAAATCAAATTTTAGAGATTAGAGATGGTATTAACCCTAAAAAATAAAATAAAATGACTTCAGTTTTTTGTAATTAAATTGATATTTATTTAAGATTAAAATTTAATATTTTAACTAATTTTTATATTTAGGACTAGAGAGAGCTTATTTGTTTTAAAGCTTCCTTAATACATATCTATATCTCTGATTTTGGCCTCCATATCATTTGTTTGGTCTTTCATATATATATATATATATATACACACACACACACATATATAATGACATCATTTCAACCACTCCACATTTCTATAACTCCAAAAACGTAACGTTTTTCATAAAAATTAGTAAAACTCTCTTTACATGCAATCAATTGTATACAAACAAATTTGTTATAATTTTAAAGTAGAGTACAAAGTGGGATATCCAAGCTTCTTAGGCACACACTCAGTTATTCAATTATACCATTTTAATCATCTTGCGATTAGAAGCTAGGGAATCAGTTTTATAAGAAAATGTGACTTTTTTTTTTTGGCAAGTTGTCGATCGGGAATGGATACGTAGCGCTTCGGAGAATATATGCTATTTAAATGGATTTCCTATAGTTATTCAAAACATTAAATATTTCTATTTTATTCGAAAGTTTAAACACATTCTATTATGGGCTAGTAAAAACAAACCAGATTCTATCGACTTTCAATCAATGTGTCTTTCTAATAAAATATTTGAAGAAAAAAAATAGGAAAATCACAAATAAAAACCTCCTAATATATAAAATTGTGATTTGAGACTCTTAATTTAGAAAATAGCAAATAAAGACCCAATCTCACTTTTGTAAATATAAAATTATGATGAAATATCTAAAATACCTGTCAGCCAAATAATAACTTTAGTAGACCAAATCACAACTTGACTGAAAGTATGCCAAATAACAAATTGACTATAAGAAATAACAAGTTCACTTTAACAATCAATAACAACTTTAGTAGACCAAATCACGAATTGGTTGAGAATATGCCAAATCACGAGTTGACTATAAGTAATGACAAGTTTATTTTAGCGAATGACAACTTCAACAGACCAAATCACAATTAAACTTAGAGGCATTTTAAATATTTCACCCACATTTCATATTTGCAAAAATAAGACCCGGTCCTTATTTACTATTTTCTAAATTTAGAGTCTCAAATCATAATTTTACATATTGAAGGGTCTTTATTTGTAATTTTACCAAAAAATACAACTAACCCTATTCAAACCTTTTTACACCTCTAATTACTGCATTTATGCACCACATACTTATTATTGACAACTAAAATAATTATATTAGCAATTAGCACAGCATTCATTAACAACTAAGCTAATAACTAAAGGCAATTTGGTAAATTCACAATTAGATTCTCTTATCTATAATCCGATGAGACTTGAGGTTAATTTGAAGTATTAAAGGAACCATACAACAATAATTTCATTTTCATGTGATCTGAGTGTAATTTTTTCTTAATATAACAGTTTACATATTCCACAATATTTTACTTAAACTATTAATTTTTTCACTTAATACATCTTTCCTCTTCTTTCCCCTCATAGAACCATCCCCTTTATCAATGCACACAAAAAACTAAATTCTCAACCACTTTATCTTTGTCTGACCCTCCAAGTTTCTTTTTGCACCTTTTATTGCAATCTAAAGACTAATGAGCAACTCTATAGAACACAAGATAGCTAACTTCTGTCAATATCATTTCAAATAGTATTATTGACTATCACATGTACAATGTAACTCATCAAAATATCCAGAGTGTTTTTTTTTTATTCAAGTTGACTGTGCACCTTTCTTTTAAAACAAAAAAAAAGACCTGAATACTGATTTATCCCCATGTTGAATCAGACCAGAAAAACAGAATCCTGAAACATTTGCTGTTCCCACATGCCTCCTGCACTTTTCAGATCCCCCAAAAAAAAACTTGTACAAGTTTAAGGAACACAATCATATTACTGTGGAACAACTTTTTTGCAATTAAGTCCAACTTATAGGCCACCCTTTCCTACTTCTAATACTATTATTCACTTAGAATGACACATTTAATTCAGTCCTCTTTGAAAACCAAATAACACACATTAACACCATAACAAAGGTTAAGAAAATCACGTACCATCATTTTTTTCGGATCAAGACCTGATCCAAAGCACAGGAAACACTACTTAACCATGAGTCCTCTAATACTAACCATAGATCCCTAGCATGCATCCCATTAAACTTCGTCCAACCCAGGATTCCAATGGCCTTTAACACACCACATAGGTCTGATACAGGGGAGAAATATATATGTCATCTGAAGTTATATTTCCAAATTTATGATGACTTAGCTGGATGGGAAAAATTTGACAAACCTTACTTGCTCATCCTGCTATCTACATCAAAGCAATATGATGCTAAGTACTTTTGCAAAGCCCCATCCCTTCCATCTTGAATTACCTACAATAGGTTCATATATGCTGACAGGGTTAGTTCCCTGTTTTCCGATGTAGCTGATCAACCACTAGCCTACATAATGAGTAAATAACTTTCACAATTTACCATTTAAATCACCTAAATGTTTAGTTTTTTCATGATAAATCTCATAGTTATTAATTATCTCAAAAAAAAAAGCACTAAACTTAGGAATTCATTACAGTCATGAGAAATTCCATTACCTACAAAAATAGCACTAAATCTAAGGATCAAGGGACAACGTATGTGAATGTACAGTAGAGACTCTTAATAGATGAAACTTCTTTTGAATAGGCCCCACAAAAAACTCTGCAATGTCAAAACAATTAACTACAATGTCAAATAGAAAAACTAACGTGACATCAATTGACACTGGTCCATTCAGTTCTTCCAATAAAACTCAAACTACAACATGATGTGAAACAAAGAGCAGCAAGCACCACATATGAGCTAGCATCTGAAAAGGCGGTGTTTGAATAAAGCAAAATTCAATGAAGAGCACTTAATTACTGGAGCACCAAAATAGAGGTTCTGAATATGCTTACATCAAAACAATCTTCATTCACTCAACAAGACTCTCTTTACATAAGACTCTTTTTCATTGGCGGCAAATTGTTACATTCACTCAATTATCTTTTCTTCCCAACTATCAAAGATCACAAATTGTTGCACCATTTTAGCCAAGCAAAAAAACAGAATAGAGAGGATGTACCTAAAAAAGAAAGGGAAAATCACTAACAGGTCCCACAGAAGGCAATTTATTACTCTGAGGTCCCACGAAATGTCAAAATCACTGACAGGTCCCAAGGGACCTCAGAGTAATATTTTCGTTTTGTAAAATGACATTACTACCCCTCATATTCCAGATTCACATTTGCTCTGTCATTACGATTTACAACCTCAGCAGCGACTATTAACAACCTAATGAGAGGGCGTTAACAACCCTAGCAGTATCCGTTAACAACTTACTTTATAGAATTATATAACCTCTACATAAGAGTAAATTATAACCAAAGAATATAATATAACAACTTTAACACTAAAATGGAAAGCTTTTTGATATCATTAAGAATTTTAACTAGATCCAATAGGATTATAGTAATATTTTAATGCGAAGATCCATTTACAACCTCAACAGTGACTATTAACAACCGAATGAGAAGGCATTAACAACCTAAGCAGTATCAGTTAACAACTTATTTTATAGAATATATAACCTCCGCATAAGAGTAAATTATAACCAAATAGTATAATACAACAACTTTAATACTAAAATGGGAAGCTTTTTTATATCATTAAGAATTTTAACTAAACCCAATAGGATTATAGCAACATTTTAATGCGAAAATCCATTTACAACCTCAATAGTGAGTATTAATAACCCAAAGAGAGCTGTTAACAATCTAGACAGTATCTATTAACAATTGACTTTATAGGATAATATAACCTCTAACAACTATATAAGATTAACTTTAAGACTATTTAGTTATAGTTTAGTTAGTTATAGTTAAAAGTTATATTATCCGATAAAGTTAGTTGTTAACAGACACTGCTAAGGTTGTTAACAATTCTCCTTAGGTTATTAATACTTACTGTTGAGGTTGTAAATGGATTTTCGCATTAAAATGTTGCTATAATCCTATTGGGTTTGGTTAAAATTCTTAATGATATCAAAAAGCTTCCCATTTTAGTGTTAAAGTTGTTGTATTATACTATTTGGTTATAATTTACTCTTACGCAGAGGTTATATAATTCTATAAAGTAAGTTGTTAATTAACGGATACTGCTTAGGTTGTTAATGCCTTCTCATTCGGTTGTTAATAGTCGCTATTGAAGTTGTAAATGGATCTTTGCATTAAAATATTACTATAATCCTATTGGATTTAGTTAAAATTCTTAATGATATCAAAAAGCTTCCCATTTTAGTGTTAAAGTTGTTGTATTATACTATTTGGTTATAATTTACTCTTATGCAGAGGTTATATAATTCTATAAAGTAAGTTGTTAACTGCTACTGCTTAGGTTGTTAATGCCCTCTCATTCGGTTGTTAATAATCGCTGTTGAGATTGTAAATGGATATTCGCATTAAAATATTACTATAATCCTATTGGATCTAGTTAAAATTCTTAATGATATCAAAAAGCTTCCCATTTTAGTGTTAAAGTTGTTGTATTATATTATTTGGTTATAATTTACTCTTATGTAGAGGTTATATAATTCTATAAAGTAAGTTGTTAACGGATACTGCTAGGGTTGTTAACGCCCTCTCATTAGGTTGTTAATAGTCGCTGCTGAGGTTGTAAATCGTAATGACAGAGCAAATGTAAATCTGGAATATGAGGGGTAGTAATGTCATTTTACAAAACGAAAATATTACTCTGAGGTCCCTTGGGACCTGTCAGTGATTTTGACATTTCATGGGACCTCAGAGTAATAAATTGCCTTCTGTGGGACCTGTTAGTGATTTTCCCAAAAAGAAAAGCACAACCCACAGAAAATTTCTCACGTGCATTTTAACAAACACCTATCAGGCAAACATATTTTAGAGCATTTTATATTCTATCCTCCCCCCATATTTCAATCTAGAAGAACCAAATATCAGGCAGCATAAAAATAAAGGTAGCCCAATATAGCAAAGTCCGAATGACAATTTAACAATAGAAGAATTTAACCTATAGTAATCAAGCATCGTAACACTTGCAGACCAAGGAGAACAAAATGTTGCAAATGCTCGAAGATGCTCATAGGAATCAAGCATTGATTGTGGCCTCGCCAAATCCCACCATATTTGATTCTCCACGCACAGCGACTTCAACTTCTCTTCCAGAGCCCAGTTCAACTTCCCAATCTTGGCTATCTCTTCTTCCTTCGCCCTCAGCCTCTTCATCATCTCTGTTTTAATTGCCTCTAAAATCCTCCTTGCTTGCCTCTTTCGCTTCTCCTCTAAGTCCACCTGATATTTTCCATCTGTAACCAATTCCACAAGAAGAGACGATGAAGCAACACTGAAAGAGACGAAAGAGATAAAGAGAAACCGAGAAAAAGTGAAGATGCATACCTGATGTGTAAGAAGCAAACAGATCTCTCTCTTGAGCCTAATTCTCGGCCTCTTCTGATCCTTGGGTCGAATGAAGGAGCTAGGCACAATCACCCATTCTCCTCTTTAACAGCGATACATAATAGAGGGAGAAGTTTCTATGCGAAATCCTTTTCCATCTACGCAGGAAGGATTACTTATGTAAAAAAATTTCTTCCCCTTCTCCCCGTTGTCAGGAAGGTTTGGTGAAGAAAAGAAGAAAATGAAGGAGAAAGAATACAAATTAACAAAGTTTGAATTTTGAATTTGAAGAGGGAAAATATTAAAATGAGCAGGGTGGTAAAACAACCTAACGCACTCCATGGAGACTGCAAAACAAGATAGAACAGTTTTTGCACTTTCACACGTAACATGAGAAAAAAATTAGAAAATTAAAAACCCAAGAAGTTCATCCCAGCACGGAGACAGACGCACAAGCTGACATTATTCTTTTAGCTGGTAATATTCATAACATAATAAAATGAGTGAGGAGTGATTGTAAATAAAAAAATGGCTCAACTTGACTTTGATTTTTATTTATTATGTATATAGATTTACACAATTTTTCTTAAGAACTAATTAATAACTGATTATTAATATTATATATTGCTATCAATATTCTCAATCACCCCGGATTTTTATAATTCTAAAAACATGATCTTTCATACAATTTTCAATGAAAATAAATCATAAATAATGTCGCATGAAAAATAATTACAATCATAATCTCATGACCATCCGAATAAAGAATCAGTTTGTAAGAAACTTTCACTTTTCTTTAAGTTTTGAATCCATTTATATTTATATATATATATATATATATATATATATATGCACGACCAAGTAAACTATACACTTAGAAACAAATTGCCAAATTACAAATTGGTCTTTATACTTATGAAATGTATTTTTGAATAAGACTTATCAATGGAAATTTCTTTATAATATAAGACTTGTTAAAATATCCCTAACTCTAATCTGACTTCTCACACTCCTGTTTACCCAATAAGACACACGTGTTTTGTCTTAATTAAATATGCGGGTTTGGTAATTAAACCATATATATTAAGAAAATTAGTTAAAATCATTATTTGTGTGTATTTGATTTTCTTAAAATATTTCTTAATCATTTATTTTGAAAATTACTTTTATTAAATAATTGCAGATATAATTTATGGGAAAATAATAAAACTGACTAGCTCGTAGTTTAGGATTAGAAGAAGTATATATTTCTATTTCATATATTATCCAAGTTTTTAACTTTTAACTTTTCTTCCAGGCACATTTAACCATCCTTCTTGAGGAGTTCCGCATGCGTCGTCCTTTTTCCTGAGTTGGATTCTGAGATAACTCAAGTGGGTATTTGAATGTTTATTCAATTTGACTTTGATTTTTCAATATTCTGACTGTGAATTAAGTTTAAACAACAATTAGCTGGTATTTCTTATTCCTCTGGTGCCATTAATACCAGTGGTTTTCCTGTTCTTTCAACCTCTTTTAAATTTGTCGCAGGGAGTTTTCACATCCAGATTAATTCCTTCTGCTTGGCTTGGGTTCGGGCTCGTGGTTGAAGATGATTCTGAATGGCCGAACTTTCTATGCTCAAGTTATTATTATTAACTTCTGGTTGCTGTTTAGTTGTAGCATGGTCTTAGGGACTGCCACTGATATCTTCTGCTTGAAAAGCATAAAGGGTTCACTTGCAGACCCATATGGTTATTTGAAATCTACATGGGATTTCAGCAACATCACAGAAGGATTTATTTGCAGATTTACTGGGGTTGAATGTTGGAACTCTGTTGAGAGCAGAGTCATGAATCTCAACTTGTCAAACATGGGACTCAAGGGCCAGTTTCCTCGCGCAATTCAAAATTGCTCCCGCTTAACAGGATTAGATCTCTCAAAGAACACACTTTCTGGGAAAATTCCCGCAGATATTGATGTTCTTCCATATCTGGTAACCGTTGATCTATCTTCCAATAATTTTTCTGGCAGAATCCCCAAGAGCGTCGCAAATTGCAGATATCTGAATTCCCTTAAACTCGATCATAATCAACTCAGTGGGAGAATTCCTGGAGAACTGAGCTTCCTCAGAAGGCTCAAGATATTTACTGTGACGAACAATCTTCTGAGAGGCCCAGTTCCAAACCTCCCTCAAGTCCCAGCTACGAGCTATGCAAATAATTCAGGACTCTGTGGTGGTCCCTTACCACCTTGTTCATAATACTGTGTTGTTAGCCTTTTAATAATTACGCTGTGCCTTGCAACAGAGTTAGAAGTTAGAACAGCCTATATATTTCCCTACCAACACTTTAAATCATTCAATAAAGGGATCCATGGCCTTATTGGTTTGTCCACTTTGTATTATTTAGTTCTTTGTCTTTAATCTTCATCTTGGCGGATGTTCTTTCACACGTTGTTATTGTGAAGGATTATTATTATCCCTATATTCATAGTTATAATATTAAATATACAAGTAGAATCGGTAAACGAATAAGTTCTACGGTGTTCCTTCTGTCTCATTTTGCGATCAAGTTGTAATATTCAATATACCGTATTGTTTACGTACTTTATGCGACATATATTAAATATTAATAATTTGATTATGTCAATTAAGAAGCAAAAGTTCCACGGTTTGTGAGGCTGAATTAAGCGAGAATTCTGTATAATGTGGATCTATTATTTAAAGAATTATAAACGTAACCTAAGTCTATTGAGGTATTGAATCACATAAAATTATTGTTAAATATGCTATATATCCAAACAAATGTCTAGTTATTCAAAATATGAAATTTTTTCCTAACTCGTTCGAAAATCTATCTTTTGGACCTGTTCAGATTTCAGTAGAAGATTTTAAAAAGTACTCTTATCGAAGACTCTGAAAATTTCACATCATTAAGACTGTTCAAACCCTCTGTGAAATGCTTCCCCTTACGCTATCATCAAGTTATTGCCTGACCGTCAACCGTAGTATTGGATCTCCGTGATCGTTACCCGATTGACTACCACCTCTAATTCTTATTAATTATAAGAATTAGTTGAGGATGAAAATTTAGTTCTAAATACAAGACCTCAATTTATTTTGTTTCTCATACTTAATATTTTTTTTAAAACTATCCCTATTAATTACACTTGTTAAGAAAGTTTATATATAGAGGTAATTTCAATATAAATGATTTAAAAAGGTATTGTAGAGAAACCAATACATAAATTTAATAAATAACTAATTTAACTAATTTTTTAATCTATTTAAATTAATTGAATCGATTTTATATTAAAAACCAGAGGTTATGTGTCCCCAAGCTAACCTGTTTAAAATGTTCATTTACATTTGTTATTTCAAATCGTAGTAGTACTACTCCAACAAGTTCATGTTCTCTGAATGACGAGCTTTCACATCTCTCAGCAATCATTATTGCTCATAATATTGACCACTCTTGCATGGCAAAACCTGAGCTTGACTCTTCAAAGCTTAGCTATTAGGATTGTTGAGCACGAGTTGCACAAAGCTCTATCTTCACAGCCTTCAGGTAATCCCATATAGTTTATGGAATTACAGTTCAAACGCAAAGGGTGAAGACACATGTATCCTTGTAATTGGAAATAACCAACATACTAAGTTTCCACATTGCTTGCCAGCTATTAACGGTCTTTTGACTTCTGGACTTGTCATATATGGAGCCCTCATATGCATTGAACCCCGAGTACCTCGGTTCTCTTTCATTTTTAGTAGTCGGAATGGTTTGGATCCTCCTTGCAGGGCAAGCTCTGAATGTTTCTCATGCAATTTTTCTCCACTTTTGAGTTTTGACCTTGAGGACAAGTTTTTTTTTTTTTTTTGTTGGGCTAGGGCTAGGCATAAGTATCCAAATCTATTTAAAGTACTGTTAAATGCTAAATGTGGGTACCTCTTTTAACAAAGATTCAACCTTAACTCATAGTATTGTAAGGACAAGTTTTTTTTACTAGACCTAATCCCTGTTAGCCCTTGAGGACAAGTTTAATTTCAAGGGGAGGGCAACGTAATGATCTACAGATGGGCCGAAGGTCGCACAGGATGGGCCAAGAAGTTTGGGCTGAAACGGATGGAATGAAACCAGACTTGAGGGATCATGGAATATGCGTCTATATGTTTTCCCTCCGCTGTCTTGCTTTCGCTTGTTGACGGATGTTCATTACATATTGTAACCTTTGGGCAAAAGGTTAATGGTTCAGTGAGAATTTTAACTTTCTAGTGCTCATTTTTTCGAGGCTGATATGGCTCTTAACCTCAGATGGTTTTAAGCATCCAAATATTTCAACATAGTTGATGGAGTTGAAAACGGGATAGGGGAACGAGATATTGGTTCACGGAATGAGACTTCACTTCTAAACGGACCCTCTTTTCTTTTCTTTTGCTTTTTTTTTTTTTGGGTAAAGAAAGAGACCCTCTTTTTGGTCCAAGTATATTTCAAGGAGGGACAAAGATATTTATAATTATGTTATTTTTCTTGAAAAAAATAATATTTATGTCATGAACAAACTTTGTTCTCGATAGACTTCTTTTTTTTAACTGGAGGATCCGATATATTCAAGGTCTTTTTTAATTGAATATAGTTATTTAGAAATCATAAATCAATAGCATATCAAACATATAAAGAGATTAGCAATATAATCCACTTTTGAGCCAAATGGGGCATTTTTAATTCCATTTCCATGCTAATTCTTAGTCCTACTTATAAGTAGCTTCATTAAATTTTTAGCATGAATGTATTATATTATCTTTCATTTATTATAGTGTAGATAATTTTTTTAAGGTTTATATATTAAATAAAGATAAAATTGAAAAGCTATTATATTTTAAAAAAAAGTTAATGTAGTTTAAGATTTTTCTTTGTTTATATCAAACATGCTAGAATTAGCTTATAAATAGGATTAGAGGAGTAGGTTACATGATCGACATGTCACATCTTCAAAATTGCTCCAACCTAATAAGATAAATCTAATTTAATTTCATTGGATTAAAAAAATACTACCTCGTGAACACCGCCATGGTGTAGTGGCACGTTGGTTGCCTTGGTGCAACAGGTTGTGGTTTCGATCCGCTCCACAAGCACTAGCTTGTTGATTAAAAAAAAACCCCTATTTTTTAATATAAGAAATAGGTTGACTTTTAATTTGGTCTAAAATATAATATTTCAATCCATTTTGTCGTTCATATTTATCTTATTTTTTCGAGGAGTCCTTATAGTAGTTGCACATGTTAAAAGTTTCATCAAATGGTATTTTTAGCTAATACACATGATTAGTAAAAAATTATAAGAATGATAACGCCTATTTATTATACATGATTAACTTAACTAATTTTTTAATACCTCCAAATTAATCAATTAGGTCTTACATTAAAGATCAAATGTAGTATTAAATATACAAAGTTAAGTATTTAAGTCTTCTCTATTTTTTGGTAAGAAAAAATTCTTCATTTTTAGTTATGACTAAGAATGCGGTGAGGTTATTTTTTCCAAATTAAAAGTTGGCAAAAGTCTAGGTGCTCCCACTTACAGTCAATTCGTCGTCCCTTGGCGTGGAAAATTTAGCCCCCCCCCCCTTTCCTTTTTTGACCCATTCAACAGCTCGTTACGTCTCTCTTTATTAAAAATAAAAAAAATTAAATTTCATACATTCTATTTTAAAATTTAATAAATTTTTAAGTTCGCTTCTATTTAATATATATTTCAACAAAATAATAAATTGGGTAATACAAACTTTAGTCCCTCGAATTTATCTTCATTTTGGTTTTGGTTCTTCAAATTTCAAATCATAGGTTTTGATCCCTCCAGTTTTTTTTTATTTACAACATCAAAACCTATAATCCAATAAAAACATAGACCATTTTGCCCCTTCAAGAACCAAAACTTATGATTTAAAATTTGAAAGATCAAAACCAAAGTGAGAGCAAACTTGAAGAATCAAATATTATATTAACCCCAATAAATTCATTGTAAAATCATAATTTAATGAGGTGACTTATATTAAATAAAAGAGAGTTCATCCCTCAATAGGACTGTATAAGTAGTTAATTATTAATCTTGTATACTGTTATCATTTCTCATTTAATTAGTTCGATCCGATCTTTAGGATGTACCGATATCGTCAATCACTCCGTATTTTCATAATTCTACAAACCTGATCTTTTCATACAATTCAGTGGAAATAAATTATAAAATCATCTTGCATGAAAAATGGTAAGGCTCACTTTGTTATAATAATTTACTCCAGTCTTTTGGGCCACAATCACTCAATACTTCAATTATACCCTCCCAGTCCTAAATATAAGACTTATCTTGTATATAAATTACACAATAAAATAGGTTTTACAGTTAGAAATGGAAGAGTACATTTTAGTAATCTTATGATCAGACTAAAGAAACAGTTTTATGAGAAATTTTCACTTTTCTATAAGTTTTGAATCAAGTTATGTGTAATTGGCCAAAAAAAATCAAGTTTGTTATATGCGACTAAAAAAATTATGTACTCAAACAAATTCCCTACTCCCTAGTTAAAACTCAGTCTTTACATTTTTCAATGAATGTTGCTTTAAGACGTGGAAAAATATACCTAAAGATGTGGAAAAATTCCCTACTCCTCGAGGACCAACAGGAGCTCCGCAAGCATCGTCCTTTTTCGAGAGATATTCTCTGTGTGGCTGGCTTGGGTTTGAGATCGTGGCTGAAGATGGTTCTGAGCGGCCGAACCTTCTGCGCTCATCATGTTATTATTATTAATTTTTTGTTGCTGTTTAGCTGTAACACGATCTTTCGGACCCTGATTGATATCTTCTGCTTGAAAAGCATAAAGGATTCACTTGAAGACCCATATGGTTCTTTGAATTCTTGGGATTTCATCAACAACAAAAACACACAAGATTTTATTTGTGGATTTGCTGGGGTTGAATGTTGGGTACCATCAAGCAGAGTCATGAATTTCCTCGTACCGTCCAAAATTGCTCCAGCCAAACAAGAATAGATTTATCAATGGACCAAATTTATTGGACAATACCAGCAGATATCGATAATCACCTTATGTTTGTGACATCTTGTTGACCACTGACCTGCTCCAAGAATCCCCAAACACACGACTTTGGACTGGAAGAAAATTATTTTTATTGAATCACAACTGAGAAGGAATACATACATGGGCCAACAACGGACCCAATATTTATATACAATGCGCAGCTCTATGACCCTAAACTAAAGTGCTCACAAGAATGGGCCACTGATGGGCTTACAGAAACGAAATACAACAAGCACCCAACATTTACAAATAAATTCATTCAAATATTTCCAACACTCCCCCTCAAGTTAGGGGCTTGAAAATATCTATAGCTCCTAACTTGCTCAACAGGTTTTTCTGTACATTTCCCGCAACTAGTTTTGTCAGCAGATCCGCTTCTTGGCTGTGGCTTCTGACATGCTCCAGATCAATCAGC